CTGGCCCGCCCCGGGCGTTCCCGCCCCTCCCCCGGACCCCGCCGAATGCAATGGGGGAGGAAGGAGAGACGCAAGAAAGGGAGGGGTCCCCCAGATAAGCCGGGCGGCCCACCCGCTTCGGGCCCCTACCCATAGCCCTGGGCTTCACCAACAGACACCTCGCGGTTTCAGCCAGAGGGATCTGGCGCCTGGGCTTGGGGGCTGCGTGCGACGTCACATGCTCTACGTGACATCAGAGTGAAGGCCGTGACATCACCTCGAAAATGCCGACGGGCGCCCTGGGGCCTCGGAGGGGCCACGTGAGCCCTTATGGCCTCAGAGTACCCCCCATCTCGACCGGACCGGCCCCCAGCCGGGCCGTTTACTCTCTGCCGAGCGGGGGACGTGGGGGAAGGGCAGGGGTCTGGGGTCTGGAACGCTTCCCCGAGCCCGGAGCTGAGCCGCGGCCTCCCGCCGCCACAGGGGTCGCCGCCTGGGCGGGTCAGCGGGCCCGCGGCCTCTTGCGTGTCCTGCCCCTGACCGCAGCTGCCCGGCCTCCAACTCGCGGGAAAAGAAAGCTTCATTGAGACAGCCAGGAGGTGCGGGGGGCGTAGGGAGGTGGAGCAACAGCGTTCACCAAGCTCCACGGGGAAGGAGAGGTCCAAGAGGAGGGACCTGACCAGGGAGGAACCCAGAGAGAAGGCGGAATGTGGGAGGGCTCAAGGGGACGTGGGAGGGACGAAAGGAGAAGGGAGAGGGAGGTCCAGTCTTGCCTGACCAAGCGCTTTTTTTTTTTTTTTTTTTTTTTTTTTTGGAAGTCCCAGCACTGATCTCGAGGACCAGGACTCTTCTCCCAGCCCCGAACTAGGACCTCCGCTCAGCTAAAGGTAGGGAAGTCAAGCTGCCGGCAAGAGGAAGGGGAGTTGCTGATGGAAAGGATGGTGGAGGGACCGGGCAAAGGAGTGATGTGGGATGAAGTCGAGGGGAAACTGTGAGGGTTTTATTATTGCCAAAGAAGTGTGAGACAAGAGGAGTGTAGAGAGGAGACAGATATTTGTGGGGGGCGGGAGCGGGGAGGGCAGCTGCAGGGTTTTCCAAATAGGGCAGTCGGGAGGGCCCTAAAGCTGGGGACTCCTCTGTGAGGCCCTACCCCTGGGCCCTCAAGCCAAAATGTCCTCAGAACAAAGCTGTCCTGTTGGGTTGTTTGTCTGAGGCCGGAGGAAGCATGCTGGGGGGGCTTGCTGTAGAGGGGCTGTTTTCAGCCCCAGACAGAGGGAAGGCCTTGGCTGAGGAGTTGAGGGTGCCCTGGCCTCTGGTTGCCCAGTGACAGTGGTGGCCATGTTGGCAGGAGGCTTGGACAATCCTACAATTCTACCCTATCCCACCCCCACCAACCCAGCTTGAGACCTGGCCCTCCCAGGCCCCTTGACTATGCAGTGCCTGTGAGAGCCTGTGTGCTGGGGAGGATATGGAGCTGGCTTTCCGCACATTCAGGTCTCTGCCCTCTCTGCCCTCTCTGCCTCAGAATCTGCCCAGATAGGACTTTGGGCTTGGCTCCCATTCAGGGGACTTTAGATCCAAGGGTCTCCTTGCCTGCCTCTCTCCACAATCAGCTGTCTGTCCTCCGATTAGCTGAATGGGGTCATCTGGGTCCCTCCTACCTCTGCTTCTTGGCTCCTGTCGGTTGCTCTCCTCCTCACCTGTTGCCTCTCTGGGTTGCTCCCCAATTCTGTGTGCCTGGCTCTCTCTCAATCACCTTTTGTCCATCTTCATCGTTGTCTCTCTGCTGTCTCTGTTTGGCCCCCTTTCATTCCCACAGTTTCCCTTCTTTTCACATCCTGTCTGTCTGGGTCCTCTTCTTTGTGTGTTTCTTGTTCGGTCTCTATCTTTTTATCCCAAGCATCCTCTGGCTCGGGGTCTCTAATCACTGTTTTTTTGATCTCAGAGTCTCATACATTAGTGAATAGAGGTAATGGAGGTGATGATGGCAGAACTAGGGAAGGTCATTGTGACACATAACTAATACTGAGAATTTTACTCTTTACGACAGGGAGGGAAAGCCTCTCTCTCTGTCTCTATGTCTATCTTTTTCTCTCTTTTCTCCCTCTCCTTCTCCTTCTCTTACTCTCTCTCTTTCTCTTACTCTCTCCCTCCCCTTCTCTCTCCCCCTTCCCAATCTGAATCTCTCAAACTGCGCCTCTTGACTCAGTGTTTCAGCCCCTATCTAGTGTGCATTTCTCTCACTGCCTCTCTTAGTCCCTGGGTGCTTCTCTTTCTCTCACACGCCCTCTGTCTCTGGTCTTACTCAGTGTCTCTTTTCCTCTCATGACCTCTCTCTTGGACCTGAGCCTGGCTCAATCTCAGTGTCTCTCACACACTCTCTCTCTCCGGGGCACCCAGGCCTTCCCTGCCATGGGACCTGTCAGTGTCTGGCAGTGGAGCCCCTGGGGGCTGCTGCTGTGCCTGCTCTGCAGTTCATGCCTGGGATCTCCATCTCCATCCCCATCCATGGGCCCTGAGAAGAGGGCCGGGAGCCAGGGGCTGCGGTTCCGGCTGGCCGGCTTCCCCAGAAAGCCCTTCGAGGGCCGTGTGGAGATACAGCGAGCTGGTGAATGGGGCACCATCTGTGATGATGACTTCACGCTACAGGCTGCCCATGTTCTCTGCCGGGAGCTGGGCTTCACAGAAGCCACAGGCTGGACCCACAGCGCCAAATATGGCCCTGGAACAGGTGAGCAATGCCCCAGGCATAGCCTAGGTATTGCCTAAGTGTGACTTAAATGCAGGGGGAGAGAACGTCAGGATGGCACAGCCACAGGGACACAGGACACCAAGAATAGCCAGTGTCAAGTAAACCCCTGGGTGACAAACCAGCCAATATAGTCACTTCTCAGAGCTGTGTGACCTTTGGCTAACCATTGCCATCTCTGAGCCCCAGATGCCCCATGTGCAAAAAGACTAGATGATATCTAAGTTCATTTCTGCTATAAAAAGTATGATTCTACAAAGCTATGTATGAGGACAGCCCTGATACAGTGAGCCTTGTACGGTTAAAGTACAGCTGCTTTCATGGGAAGCTGAGAGCAGGTAAATGATGTCTGGATGTCTGTCCCAAAGCCAGAAAAGATCACAGATACTGCAGCTGACAAAGTCAGATTATAGGCCAAAGCTGAAACTGACAAGCTGGAACTGAGCAGGATAGGTATGAATGTGAGGACTAGGAGCTTAGCAACAATTCCAACCAAGGCCTGGGGGTACTTACACTGTGTGAACCCACAATGGGATTAATGGACAGGATGGTGCAATCTGCAGCTGATACCCCAATTCTCACTGGCTAGACCACTTCTGAAATAAAGTATCATGTGTAGATGCCACATTTTAAGAAAGATAGTAGAAAATGGAAATACTTTCTGAGGGCAGCTGCCCAGATGTGAAAGATGTGAAGCCAAGTTTCAAGGAGAAATAGTTGAAGAAACCGGGGATGTTTGATATGAAAAGAAAAAGCCTTTGATAGCAATTACATGATGGTTGTCTTCAAATATGAAGGCAGTCATGTGGCTGAGGGATTTTTCTGGATGGCATCAAAGGACTGAATTAGACCTGGTGGGGGAAAGTCATCAAGAATCACAAGAACTTTGTGATGGTTATCGGCCAAGTGGGGCAGGAGGTAGGTGTCCCGGCAGAAGCTGGAGAAATCCTTATGAGGATATGCATCAGGGTCTCTGCACAATGTCTGAGAAAGACAACTTTGAGGGTTCACCCAATTCTGAGATGAAGTCAGTGATACTCATTGCAGTATGGTCCAGGTAGAGAGAACAAGGGTCAGTGTGGAAGTGCAGACAGGGTGGGCACATGGGTAAGTGAGGCTGAGGTGAAAGATCTTAGATTTCCAAGTCTCACAGATGGCTCAAACCCCTAAGCTCCCATGTGTTGGCTGTGTGCTCAGGCAAGTTACTTAATTTCTCTGAACCCCCACTTCTTTATATAAAGTAGTGATAATATCTTATGGCAGCTCTGTTCTAAGAATGATCACGTATGTACACACCATGGCAGAGTGCTTGATTAATTGTAGCTATCGTTGAATGGTTAAGAACTGAACAGAATTTCAACGTCGACTCTTGGTTTTTTATTCACCCTGCCAAACTCCTGAGTATCCCCAGATCACCACCAACCCTCCATCAATTCTATGCCTCTTTTCCTGTTCCCTCCAGGGCCTGCTATCCCTTGCCCACCCATTATCTTACCAGAAAAATGATATCATTATGGCCAAGTGCAAGGCCTCCATGCTCACTCTCCCCAACATCCCTATCACTCCCTATATCTACCTTCCCAAGCCTCTCTGTCTCCTCACCTACCCCTCCGCAGGCCGCATCTGGCTGGACAATCTGAGCTGCAGTGGGACTGAGCAGAGTGTGACCGAATGTGCCTCCAGGGGCTGGGGAAACAGTGACTGTACCCACGATGAGGACGCCGGAGTCATCTGCAAAGACCAGCGCCTCCCTGGCTTCTCCGACTCCAATGTCATTGAGGTCTGCAGTACACACACACACACACACACACACACACACCCGGTTGGCCAGACAGAGAGGGCTGTGGGGTGTTATATGTGATTAAAGGCAGGGGATTCCATGTGTCCCATGGGCTAATTTGGGTTGATAGGAGGCTGGAGGCAGGGGTGCACGGGAGCAAATGTTAGAGCTCTTAGATGCTTTAAAGTCCAAGTTTGTTTTAGGATTAACGTTCAAGTTACTAAACCTGGCAGGAACCTCTCCAACTTCATCCCTGGTCCCCAAGATATCCTGTGCTCTCCTGGAACGTCTCCCTTCTTACCTCCCGCCTCCTTCAATACCACTTTCTCTTTGAAGTGCTCCCTCCTGCTCCAGACAGCTAGGTGCGCCTTCCTCACCATTCAGTCATTTCTCAGGGCACAGCATGTCCTTCCACTCTTGTGATTGCAGGAGAGTCGACACCCCACACACCCATTCAGTACACTACTAAGGAAGACATCACATCTCCCTCAGCCCTATCCAGCCCTGTCCAGCCTCTGGCCATTGCATTTGCAGCAAGCACACTCAGTCAGCGTTTCTTAAGGGTAGCCAGACATGTGAATGGCGCCATTGGGATTCTTTCCTCTGCTTGTGGTCCCATCCCCAGGTAGAGCATCACCTGCAAGTGGAGGAGGTGCGCCTTCGACCAGCGGTTGGGTGGGGCAGGCGACCCCTGCCGGTGACTGAGGGACTGGTCGAAGTCAGGCTTCCCGATGGCTGGTCGAAAGTGTGTGACCAAAGCTGGAGTGCCCACAACAGCCACGTGGTCTGCGGCATGTTAGGCTTCCCCAGCGAAAAGAGGGTCAACGCGGCTTTCTACAGGTGAAGGACCATGGGCGCTGGTTGAGCGGAGTGGGGTGGAGGGATGCTCCTTGAGGAATGGGGTTGAGAGACCTCTGAGAGGGTCTGGGCACCGGGGGTCCCTGGGGCTCTAAAATAGCGGGAAAATGGGGGAGGCCTTTGCGAGACTGGAGAGGTGAGAAATCTTGCGGGACCATGAAGGGCTCCCTGAGGCGAGTCTGCTAGGGGGACCAGTGAGGCTCCTGTTCTCTCGTGTCTGGAGTCGGGGAGGGGCGAGTGGTGGCTGGTGGAACGTCGGTGCCGTGACCCCAGCTGTTGTCTGGCAGAGTCCCCGGCCCGGGGCGCGCGCTGGGTTGCGAGGCCACGCCCAGCGGCGACAGTCCCGCGGGCGGTTTTGATCACCGCTCCTGCGCGGCCTGGAGCCCGGGTCTGAGTTCAGAGAGGGTGAGGGCGTACCCTGCCGAGGCAACGCCTGGTGTGTCCTGAGCAAGGCTGGGCGCCTGGGGTCTGAGGACCGTGACAGGCCGGATGTGGCCCGCGGGGGCGGTGTCTCCGAGTGAGGGCCAATCCCTAAGAGCCGGAGAGGGAGGACGGCCCTACCCTGGGTCCTGGCCGCCCGTTAGGCGCGTCTGTGATCAACCCAGCCCTCAGGGATCCTAGGCTGTTTTCTAGAGTATCTATCATTCGGCAGAGGCACCTGCCCAGGATCCTTGGCGCACAGCTTCTAGAGTAACAAATCACATGGTGACCGGCTCTGTGCTTACAGCGTCTCGCTTCCCTGGAACATCTAATTTGGCCATTTTGAGAAATTTGGAAATCTTTATAGTCTCTCTGTAATCTATTTTTCAGGCTAAAAATGCTTATTTCCTTCAGCTCTTCCTTAGATCAGTTTTGCAGAAAGACCTCTTGACATCAAGGTGCCCTCCTTCCACCGGGCACACTACTTATAACATGGTCAGATCAGAGCAGGGTGCAGTAAAAATGCTCAACTCTCATGTCTAGATTTTGCATTACCTTTGTGTTGAGGCAGCATCCCACTGCTCATATTGACCTTGTAATCACCTAAAACCAACTCAGGTCTTCCTTCATCCTTGGTGCTGATAGAGCAGCCTGTTTTAACCTAAATCTATATTGAGTTTACCGTATTAGTTTGCTGCATCATTTAAAAACCATCTGTCATCCCGCCCAGCCTCCTCTGGTAGATAGACATGATAACTATGCCTCTGGCTTCATCAGAATGACTGTTAGAATTGTTGAAATGTTTAAAACCAAAGCTTAACTCTTCTTAGGAAACTTTCCTTCAAATTTAAATCAAGCCTTTACTCATTAGTTGTGAAATATCTTTTCAACCAATTGGGAACAAACTGAATACTACAGTGAGGTAGCCAACGTTTTGCCATCTTATCTTCTTATAATGAAATCATGGGAGATTTTGCTAGTCTTTGCTAAAATCCAGGTATACTATGTTCACAGCCATTCTCCAGCCTTCTGATTTAGTGATCTTATCAAAAAAGGAAATCATGGTGGCTTGACTGACCTAATTTTTACTGAAATCCTTTTAGGTCTCTAAGGATCACCATATTTTTTTCTCGGTGCTCACAAACTTTTTATTTAATAACTTATTCTAAAATATTACTTACTGTAAGTTGAGGAATTCTTTTTCTTCTTTTTGAAAGTCAATACATTATCCAACCTCCAGTCTTTTCCATACTCACTAACATTTTCCTTGTCTTGGCTCTGAGACACATCTGAAAGTTCTTTCGGCCCAAGGGATACACTTTTTCTGGTCTAGAAACACAAACTGTCTTAAAACATCTATGTGCTCTGCTCCTCTGCTATCATCTGCCTTGGGGCTATATTTCTTTCTCTGTGTTTGTTCCTTATCTTTCCTAATCCAAACACCAGGTTCAAAAGATGAGTACAATTTAAATACCAGGCATTTCAAGTGAAGCAGATAGCATAAACAAAGATGTACAGATTTGTTCATTTGCTATTTATTTATTGAGTGCCTACTGTGTGCCAAGAACTATTGTAGACACTAGAGATTCAACAGTGAACAAAACAAACAAAAATCCCTAATCTTGTAGACTAGGGAAGAATTGGAAAATAAAAGTAAAATTACAAAATGTAAGAATGACAAAGAATATAATCATTAAAAACAAAGCAAGGAAAAGTTTCAAAAATGGTAGTGGGATAAATAGAGTGGTCAGTAAAGGCCTCTTTAAGAAGGCATCATTTGAGAAAAGATTTAAAGGAGGTGAAGGCACAAGCTAGCAGAAATCTAAACCAATAGTTTCAGGAAGAGGGATCATAAATGAAAAGATCCTGGGAAATGGGGTAGGGGGAAGGGGAAGGGAGAAGGCATTCTTGTCATGCTCCAGGAGGCCACTGGGGCTGTAACTGAGTGAACAAGGAAGAAAATGAGAGGGGATGTGATGTAGGAGGATAGTGAAAGAATGGGTAACCAGATCACATCGTGCCATTGGGGACATTTGCTTTTACTCCATGTCAGATAAAGTTCTGAGCAGAAGCATGAATCTGACTTCCATTTTTTTAAGTTTTTCTTTATTATTTATTTATTTTTATTTATTATTTATTTTTTGGCTGCTTTATTAACAATAGACTGTAAGGGATACATATGGTAGAATCAACAAGGCAGAAAGACTAATTAAGATGTTATTGTCTTCTCAAAGTCAAGTAAATAAAGTAAGAGATGATGGTGACCAGTGAACATGGCAAAAAAATGATGAAATTCTGTGTGTAGTTGAAAGTAAAGCCAACAGGATTTGCTGATGGATTCAATGTGGTATGAGAGGAGAGGAATTAAGGGTCATTCCGAAGGTTTTGGCCTAAGCTAATTATGAAGTTGGCCTCATTTGATAAGGAAGATAGTGCGTGGAACATGTTTTATGTGGGGATGGCAGGGAAGGGTTGTATATTAGGAACTTATTTTGGGATCTGTTAAATTTGAGGTTCTTTAAGACACTGAAATGGTGAAGCTGAGTAAGCAATTGGGTATAAGACTCAAGTTCAGCTGAATAAAAGTATTTTAAGTCCTCAAACCGGACAACATCACCAAGGGAGTAAGTGTAAATAGAAAAAGAAAAGTCTAAGGACTGAATCATGGGGAGCTTAAACAGTATGAGGTCAGGTAGATAAGGTGAAATGCAAACAGTGAGGTGGGTAGAAGGAAAACCAGGTGAGCATGGTGGCCTTGAAAGCTAAGTAAAGTACTTCAAGGAGGCGAGAGCGATCAACTGAATCAGTGCTGCTGATGGGTCTAAAAACAAATACTAAGAAACAACTGGATTTAGCAATGAGGAAGTCATATAAGATGATATGAATAGGATATATTTGGAAAGACAGTTGACTAGAGTGGAAGGCTTATACTAAGAAATAGAAGAAGGAGCTAGAAGAATAAATAAGGCCAGAAAAATGGAACACTTTTAATGCCAGATTGATCTTATGGAAAAATTAAAAATAAAAGTATTTGTATGGAACAGTGATAAAAATAAGGCCAGTGGTTTTTAAAGTTTGCCTGATGAATTAGAAGAGGAGCGAATTGAAAGAGGTGGTTCTAGTTTCAGTAAAACAAGTAGGAGTTTGTTATAAAAATGAAGCTGATTAGGAAGGTGACAACAAAGAGGAAAGTGAATGAATAGATGTAGGATGACAGATAGAATGTAAAAATAAGAGAAGAGATTCCTAAAGTGATTCTGAAGCTGCTTGAGAGAAGAATAGTGCCATCAGACATCTCTAGGCTTCGAGTTAATATGAACTAATTTTAGAAGTGAGCCATCCTCAGAAAGTTTGAGACCCAGGAATTATCCCTAGATATGCACAGCCTGAAATAATTTTCAGAGATCAGGAATATTTGCATACATATTGGAATCTCTTACTGAGTCTGAGATGAAGGCTGGAGAAGAAGATATACTAAGTACAGAGATCATTCTTAGTGAAGAAAGAGATTACAGGAGTCCTGGGAGATTGTGTGGTGGGGATGTGATATAGATCTTCTTCCACAGGTTAAGTCAGACAGAGGGGGCGTTCTCATAGGTAATACAATTACAGAGGATAAGCAAGACTTATAAACAACTCTACCTTCCTTAGAGAAAGAAGATGCATCTGCTATTTTTAGTACAAGTCAGTAAGATTTGGGGAATGAGAAAATCAGAACATAATATATTTATCATTTTAAAACTTGGTTTGGTATTTCTGCCCTAGAACATGAGAAAGTTATAGAATTTTGAAAGGGGGAAAGAATGCACAGATAATTGAACCATTTACTACCCTTTTGCAGGCAAAAAAATTGATGTTCTAAGAGCTTAAATGCTATGTAAGAAATCACTCGTCTAGTTCAGTTCAGATAATTTTTTTGAACTCCTACTATTTGCAAACCACTGTGCAGGATTCTGAGAATATGGAAATGATGAGAGATGTAATTAGGCACTAGATCCTAGAAAATCTTATAGATTATGTTAAGGATTTGGGTCTTTATGATAAAAGTAATGGGAAATCATTGAAGTGTTTTAATAAGGAGGGCTGTGAGAGGACATGATCAAGTTTGTGGCTCCAAAAGCTCACTCTGACTGTGTCTCTGAGAATAGTTTGGAGAAGGACAAGAGTGGATGGATTGGAGAGATATTTAGGAAGTAACATTGACAGAACTTGGTTGCAGATTGAATTTGGGAGCCAAAGAAGGGAGAAGTGTCAAGGTTGACTCCTAGGTTTCTAGAGTGGACTTTGCTGAAAAAATTATGAGTTTATTTTTTGGACCTGACCTGTATTACATTTTAGATAACTTTAAGCTATCTAAATAGAAACATCAAGAAGACAATGGAATATACAAAGTTAGGTGTGAATGAAAACAGAGAGAGGATGTAGAGTGAGAAGAAAAAAAATGCCTTAGACAGAGCTCCAAAATTTTAAGTCATGAGATAGAGGAGGAGCCTGCAAAGAAGACCAAGAAAGCAACTGGAATTCGGAATTAAACCAGGATAGTAGTGTTATGACAGCCAAGG